TATGGACAAAGCACACAGAACTTTAACTTTACTAAAATCTTATCACTTAAATATAATAATGCTCTAAGAAACAAATTTAGAAAATCTAAATACTAGAAAATTTTTGCAACAACAATGGAGCCATTGCTCATATTGGACATTGAAAACTGCAATACTAGCAGGTAACAAGAATATTACACTTACGAACATTAAGGACTCACATAATGGGCGAGTTATTGCTGCAGAACTAGTTTACAAACAACAGCCATTCAAGGTTATCAATGTTTATGCACCTCCAAATATCAAAGATAGAACTAATTTCTTCAACAACTGGGCTTCTCAAATAGACAAAAGTTTTATAAACATTTTAGCAGAAGATTTTAACACAAATCTTGATCCTCAAATTAACAGAATTAGTTGCTCATCTTTTACTAGCGATCCTACAAGAGAAATGCTCAAAATTCTTACTACAGAACTTATAGATACAGCAAGTCTAATACAAAGAGAAGAACTCTTTGTTACCTATTACCAAAACACAAGAGATGGTCACAAAATAGCCACAAAACTTGATTATATCTTTATCGATGCTAATCATAGTCATTACTGCAAATATGTCACAACTCAATTTGGAAACTCAGATCATTTGCTAGTAGAATGTGAGCTCCATTTAGCATCTTCTTCCATTAAGACCAAACAGTGGAGATTTGATAAAAACAGTTGGAACAACCCATTACTTAGAGCAGAAATAATTGAAAAAGTTTAAAGCATTGTTGACTTTTCCAAGTGGGATCTACATAAATGCAAAATACAGTTAATCACAAAAGCATTTAGACCTCAACCATCACCAGAAAAGAAAATTCAAAGACTTCAAAGAAAACTAACTAAGATCAACAATGAAATTACTAAAGAAGAAAGATCAGCAGAGCTACTTGCAGCTTGCGATAGTATTAACACTCAACTACAAGATGAAATTCAAGATCTGTCAAACAAGTGGCAAACTAAGTCAAACACCAAATGGATAGAGAAAGGAAAAAAATTTACTAGGTTTTTCTATTCATTTTACAAAACTAGAAATAGCATATCGGTTAAAGACAAAGTTCAAATTCCTAATAGTAACTAAGCCCAGGGCCCATCAGATATTCTATATTACATAAAAAAAGTTTATCAAGATATATACAAAGCAAAAGAAGTGGACAAAGAGGCAATAGATTTCTTTACACAAAACCTATCATTAGTAACAATGTCACATAACCAGGCCCTAACTAAAGACATCTCAGAAGAGGAAGTTAATACTATAATTAACTAGCTTCCAAACAACAAAGCACCAGGGTCAGATGGTCTTAATTATGAATTTTACAAAGGAATTAAAGACGACATCCTCCCAGTAATGGTTAAATTATTCAACTACTACCTGAATTCAGGCACAGCACCAAGATCTTGAGTCAAAAGCATTATTACATTAATATCCAAAAAATCAGACAATCTCTCTGATCTTAACAACTGAAGACCAACCTTACTTACAAACTGTGACAACAAAATATTTATAAAGGTCCTAGCTAACAGAGTTAATCTTATCTGTGAAGAAATGATTGGTCTAGCACAGCAAGCTTTTATAAAAGGAAGATCAATTATTGATGCAGCATTAGACATTATTACGACAATAAGAAACCAAAATAACCAGACTCTCCCACATTGGCTACTGCTGCTAAATCAGCAAAAGGCATTTGACAGAATCAGTCATGAATTTATAATGCAAGTGTTAGATACTATGAATTTCGATTACAAGTTTACAAGAATTATCAGATTTATTTTTAGTTCACAGACAGCTCATATCTCAGATGCAGACTATAGATCAGAGTCAATAAAAGTAGAGAGTGGAGTACGACAAGAGGACCCCCCTTTCATTTCTTTTATATATTATGGTCTTAAACCCTCTAATTCTAAAAATTCAAGAAGAACTAAAAGGCATACAAATTTTCGAACATCAATTTAAAGCAGCAGCATATGCTGATAACTTGACAATAGGAATTGGTTCTTAACAGAATTGGGAAAAGCTATTAGTAATTCTTCAAAAATTCGAAATAGCAACCAATGCTAAAATCAACTTTCAAAAGTCTATCCTCATCTCAATGATATCGAAAACTAAAAAAATTAGCCTTCTGAACCAAGATCTTTTCAAAACTGCAAATGAAAACAGCTAGCTAAGAATTCTAGGATTTGAAATTAATATTAGAAAAGATTTGCAAAAACAAGTTTGAGATACAATAACTCAAAATATCAAAACCAAAATAGAAAAATCTTAACCAGAAATCTGTCCTTTAAAGGAAAGATCCTTTTGTCCAAATCATTATTCATTTCTAAAATATGATATATGATATATTTATTACCACCTAGCAGAAAATAACTAGACAAAATTAATACACTAGTCTCAGGCTGGATTAAAAACAAGTCTAGACTGCTACCGAAATACTCAACATTTCAACTAGATTACAACAGAGGAGGACTAGATGCTCCTGTACTTAAAGATATATTAGACTTTAGACTTGTCTCAATTTGGGTTAAGTTAATTTCAACAAACAACTTATGGGCTAATATCGAAAGAACATTAATTTCACAAAACCTCCAGACCAAAAGAAATCTTACTGCATTAACAGCTCTTACTAAAACACCAATAAAACTTAAGGAATGACTGGATTACTAGAAACCATACTGAACAGTATAGAAGAGACTTAAAAGAACTATTTTAACAACTATCAACTGGCCATGAAATGTCTCACAGCTAAAAGTTAGAGAAAGAACAGAAAACCAGTTTACAGTACAAAGAGTTACCAAATTCCTCAAACAATACTCAATAAAGCCTACTATTTCACAAGTATTACCAAGCCTACAAGATAATACTAAAAAGTCTTTTAGTTGATTTCAATACAAAAATATACTTAACAAGAAGAAAGATATCTTTTGAAGACTCCAAAATAATGCATTGCCATTGGGATACCGCCTTATGCACTTTAACAAAAAGATAAACAGAAACTGTCTAAATTGTGTAGATAAAAAACAAACCCCAAGTTACCTTGCTATAAACTGTGAAATAAGTCAAGCATTTTGGAAAAAAAATTACAACATTCTACAAACTGAAGCAGGAGAAAAATACCCACAATTGTTAGAAAAAATACTAACAGTATCGAATATAAAAAACCAAGAAAAATAAAAAGCAGCACTATGACTTCATATTACAACGATATATGAAATCTGACTATAGTATACTCAAGTCAGATAAGAAAACAATATTATATCAAAAGAAGCCATAAAGAATATTTCAAAAGCAAAAATTCAAAAAAGTTTAAAAGTTTTATACAATACTTCTAAAAGTAAGACAAAAGCCAAAATGGTTAAGTTCTTAAAACTAAAAAACTGTAAATAGATTAACTAAATAGTTTGTTAATAATGTATTTTTAGTATACTAAATAAAGTACACCATTTCGCGTTTTTTAAAAAAAAAAAAAAAAAAAAAAAAAAATTAGGCACCAAAAATGCACGTATGACTAGTTGTAACCTCCAATGTAAGAGAGCCCCTGAAGGCAACCCGTGTCCTATATACTTGAATAAAATGTCGCATCCAGAAGATAAGGACTTTAACATAAAAAAAAAAAAATGCATACTGCACATTTTATATGTTTTGCTAACGCACGTATGTAAAGTTTTTTTTGAGCAAAAAAAATGTTATGTTTGGAGCACATCGAATTTTTTTTACTGAGCCTATTCATTACCTAACTGATAATCCTAATGCCGGCCCGATTTTGATGCATTCCGACAACTGTCTAGCGTTACCACCTAAAAAATTTCGCTGCCCAATCAGATTTGTTACGCAGAAGAAACAGAGGAAACGCAAAAAAATCAAGCACAACCTACATAACTCAACGTTTTACCTAAGAAACCACCTTCTGCGCATTAACAAAAGGCTTTCCTTGCGAAATTTTGGTATTGAGAAACTCTCCTAACCTGAATTAATAGCAAAACCTAACCTTAATCTAGCGGCGAAAGTTTTAAGGTTAGACAGTTTCATTCCGACCATGAATTTTGGGGATTGCCTTGTAAAAAACCAAAATTCAGTTTGCCAACTTTATAATTTACCGTTATCCTGAAGTATGGTTTCTCTTGTTACATCTATATATAAAGTTGTAAATTAATAGTTTTTTTGGGTAATACAATTCCTAAAAATTTGGATATATTCATATTATTTTTTTATAAATCAAAGTATCAGTTACATTTAGCTAATAATACACTAAGAAGGCGATATAACAAAAACGTTTGAAATTTAATGACTAGAAGTAACAGACTGAGCATCTGTTTACGTTATAATAACTATTTATGGTTTAAAGAAACCATTAATAAAAAACTAAGGATATGGGTGACACCTGTTCTAAAACATTTTATTATAATGTTATCTATATTGCGAAAGATCCAGGATTAATAAAAAGCAAAACAGAAGAACATTTCTAATCATACAGGATATAAAAAACATTAGAATGTCTTTGTTTGATAAACATAATTATTGTAAAAGAAAATATGATTATTAAAGTGTCTGAGTAGTATATAAATATGTTCAATAATAAATATGTGTATAACAGTGGCTATCTCCTAGAATTCCTGCTTCATTTCTATATGAATAAGAAATTAAGAATTAATAAATTAAGTTAAAATTTTCATTTTCATTTAAATATTACTAAAGAAAATAAATATTTAACACAAGTAACCCGTAATCTATAATACCTCATGTAAAATTTACTCACCTAGAGCTGATGAAAGAAAATTAATATAGCTTATGAATACATAATATTTTTGTGTGGAATGAGGCTTTTTTTATATATAATCTGCTATGATTAACTATATATAATCAGATTAAAAACTAATAAATTAATAAAGTTTAATATTAAATATGCAATGGAGCAATGGGCTGGAGCAAGTAAAATTTCCAAATGGATCACCAAATGCCAAAACTGACTCAATTATTTTTACAGAGATTACGAAGGTATTTCATGTAAACTTTCTAATAACTTTTTTGTTTGCCCATAGACAAAAAATGTCGTAGCACTAACTGGCGCAGATTTTAACAGTGCGGGAGTCAGTCCTTTGTAAAGCCCCAAAAATCCTTCTTCAACAACTATTTGTCTTATGCAAGAATATATGGAACTAGAATAAGCTGGAATATTCTTGATTACATATTTTGATCGATCAGGGCCTTGAATTTGTAATCGTCTTCTTAACAAATCAAGTGGAAATATTCCAGTTTTGCTAAACATTCCGGCTAATGCACCACTCAAAAAATCTTCAATACCTCTTAAATTACTGGACCATAAATTCCTTTCCTATCGAAGGATGGATAAAGATAAATTAGAACAATAAATAACAATCATATAAACACATAACAATCTTACCTCAAGGTGTCGAAACGATTTTTTGAATATTTCATAACTACCAAACATTAAACCCATATAAGGAATAATTTGTATCACGGATGCAGAAATTCCTCGGTAGAATCCTTCTATTCCCTCTTGAGCGTAGATTTGTTTTATTGCTTGTATTAAGCCTACATATATCTAAGATAAATAATATAAATAAAATATGTATACATTGTTTATTAATATGTAAAGTCAAGATAAAATTTGGTCAGATACTTATATAAGTAACATGTACTACAATATTGACCTTTTGTTCACCCTGAGCAGCAAACCTAGTTCTAAGCAAATCGAATGGATACGTAGAAACAGTGGCCGTCATTCCACAAACAGCGCCACTCAAGAATGGTTGCAATGTTTTATTGAAAATCAGTTTATTATCTTGGCCATCCCCGATAGAGTTAAATAGGACCTGCATTTGTCTGTATGTTAAGAACTGGACAGCACCATATGAAAGATACAAATATTCTGCAGAAAGATTTCCTTTCCATAATCCCTGTAAACAAACAATGGGTTAGTGAATCAAAAGATGGGTTTATGAACTAAACGACATATAAAATTTAATGAAACTATTATTACCCTTATACCTTCCTCTCTTATAATCATACCAATAGCGTGCAACATGCCATTATACTTTCTGTCTAAAAGTTTGGATCGAGATACTTGGTTTAAGGCAAACCCAAATGATGGTTTTCCTCTTTGGAGCTTTATAATAAATCAGATAAAAAAGAATTGAATTATCATTTCAATTACTTTGTTACGTTACATTGCGTTAGCATTATTGACCGCCTAAAATGATAGAGAACTTACCTGAAGACGTATTTTAACTACGTCAAGTGGGGAAGCGACGAGCCTTGATAATTTGTAAATATGTTAGTATAGTAATATTTGCAATAAAATCTAAAAGTTTGAAATACCTAGAAACTGCACCCGCAACCGCTCCACAAATACTTGTTTCTATAGGAGAAAGTTGTTTCGAAATCACAGCTTGATCACCCATCAAATGCTGACTTTCTTTTGGCTTGACTTAGCTGGGAACTGAAACGACACTTATTATATTTATTGAAATTATCAAACCCAACAAAAAAACGGAATTTTTTGACTTTCATAACTCGACTAGTGTAAATTTTTGCAAATTTTCTTTATATGTACGTAATTGTTAAAATTTTTAATCTTTTTACAGTATATTAAAGCCGAGTTGTTGGGTCTATTCTAAAAACTTTATCGTTAGCGTTATTGTAATGCTACAAATAATGACATATTTGGTCGGTGACATTTTTATTTAAAAATTAAATATCACCGATCACCGCGGAAAATCGTCGCAATGATTATATAGTATTTAAGAGTAGAATTCTGCGCTGCCACCACATAATCCCTAACACTTTAATCGTGGATAGAAAGAATAGAAAGAGGACAAATTAAAGTCTCGCCCTTGAAATTGAATTCCGATATTTAATTCGTATCACATGTTTCAAATCCCGATTTCGAGCACTGTATGTAAATTTGGAATTTTTAACAAAAAGCTTTTTTTTTTGTAATAAAAGTTTGACTACAATATATACAATGTATTAAGAAATATTTACTTAAATTTATTTGCAGCTTTTTTTATAGACATTTAACTTTATATGAAGATTTTATTTAAATTCAATGAAAAAAAATTTATTTTTACATAAAATCCAAATTTTAATCATGTTTGGATAGTTATCAAGAAATTTTTACTCAAAATTAAATATTAACTAGGAAAACGGGAACCGTTATAAGTCCAAAGCATAAAATATGCAAGAATCTGTCGTGTTACCTAATTTAAAATTTTGATTGGTTATCTTTAACGAACATTGCATGAAATGATGTAGAAGTATAAACGAACAGGAGCGACCGTCAAGGTTACACGAAATGCAGATCGTTTCCGAAATCTTCCCAACCAATCAAATTTAATGTCACATGATTATCAGCCAATCACAGTTGATAAAAAAATTTTTTTGTGTTTTTTGTACTTTTTGATAATCTCGCGCAACCTATTTTTAAAATAGAACGTGAAATATACTAAGCAAGCTTTAAAGTATTTGTACCAAACTTTAATAATATCACTTGAATCCACTTGAATCCAACAACTTTTATATTAACTTTTATCTAAAAAAATATGCTGGAATGCAAGGAATGCCATGTCACTAAGTCAATTAGATTCTGTTCATTAAAAAAAAAAAGTGAGAAGAGGCTAAAAGTAACAATTTAGTGAAGGCAATGTGGAAAAAAAAAGATATTTTATGTAATTCTTGTTACATGAATTTGGTCAAAAATCCTTTAAAAAAAGGTCTTAGAATAAAACCCACAAGTGAAAAAATCGAAGCAAATATGATGAAAGAGGAAAGTATAAAGGTTGAACTTATTAAAGTTATTAAGGAGATGATGAAAATTTTTTATGAGAAAGAGCATGTAAAACAAAAAAGTTCTATTTATGTTTTTAATAAAATGTGATCATTATTTTAAAAAACTAACACAATCTTAGCAGAATTTCTTAACTAGTTTTACTTTACAGCTTGGCCTCTCGAATATAATGAGCAAATGATAGACCGTATAAAGAAATTAATAGTGATAATTTGTTATTTACTTGCTTTATTAAATAGTATAAAAATTAACACTTTTAAGCTTAATATTGCTTATTATTTAGATTCAGCAAATATGACTAATGAGAGCTTGAACACGATAGCAAGTCTTGACATATTTACAATAGTAAAAACTGTAAAATATATATATATATTTTTTTTTGATATTAAGGTAACCTCTTTGGTCTGAGCTTTTTATTAATACTTATAGCAGGTACATGTTCTATATAGACATATCTATAATGAACTATTAGACAAGTATACAACTGGCTATATATGTAACTTTTTTATATTACCTATTTAAGAAGTTTATCTGAGGGTTTTTTATCAGTTGTTGTATCTAATACTCTTGCTTAGATGTTCCATTTAAACCCTCTAATCTAATCCTAGTATTAATTTCACCAGATCACAACCTGGATCTATTCGCATTTGACCATAGAACTATAATTCTTAGACTATTTTTATGCTTAAGGTAAACTTATCAAAGTGAGCTGTATTCCCTTTTACCGCTAACCTAGTTTGATGCTATGACTAAGGTTAATACTTGCAGTCAGGGTTACCTCTTAAACTACTATTATCCTTGTAAAGTTCATCCAAACCCTGGTACCCATCTTTTCAACTTCTTCTTCATCATCTCCTACTAGCCGCAACTTGGAACTATCTGACTTTCCAGACTCCCAATCCAGATAGCCCAGTATAGTATACTTATGTATCCTTTTCCTTCGACAATTCTAGCAGTCTGGTTGGTCATGTGCTCTTCTATACATCTTATTATCCAGTTTATCCGACAGTTTCTATGAAGGTATTTCATAGGCTTTCATCAGTCTAATAGTATCATCAAAAGTTTGTGCTATCTTTTTACTTGGGATTTCCAAGTAAGCTTCTGTCTCTTCAGTTTCTTAGCCTTCTACACCTGGAGGTCTTATCATAAATTTGTACTGAAGCCTTATACGATATCAGTTTTCACATTTTTCTATGTACATGTACCATGTAATATTACATTTCGCATAGATGTCCTGAGCTCCCAATGTCAGATGGGGTCCGACTTGGTGTACCTAAGATTACAAATGCCCAAAACCCAACTGATCAGTAGAGACAGTTACTATAATACAGATATAATTTCCAAAATTCGTCGTTTGTGGGAATTGAACCTTAGATCTGCCACTTGGGAGTTGACAACCTATTTACTTCACTAGGTCACCACATCTCAAAACTGTAAAATATAAGAAGAAAAGAACATTAGATGTATATGAAAATATGTAGATAATGCTCTTATAAGATGTTTAGAAAATACTTTGATACTAAATATTGACAATTATTACAACATCTATGTTCTGCATCAACCTAATACTATAGCAATATCTTAACTGATATATATGATATTAATTTTGGTAAATCCATGTTATATATCAGTAATACTGTATAGTAGAATAATTAATTCCAAGATTATTAATAATAAATTGATTATAAAACATCTTGAGAAGTGATTTATTACAAATCTTGCAATTTCTTATTTAAATTACAATTATATATAGGATTATATGAAAGAATATACTAATAATGAGTTTATAGACAGGCTAACATTACACAATTATAATGACAGGTTGGTTAGTAAAAAAAATGAATATCATATCAAAGATGCTATTCTTATCAACTTTGTTGAAAATAATTTGAAAAAGATGAAATATTATATAAAAGCTTTCAAAGTCGTATAGGATCGTGAATCTATGTCAATGTATATTTTCAATTATGCCATTTCTATTGTTTTTTTTTTTTTTTTTTTTTTTTTTTTTTGCTAAGGTCATACTTGTGGCGATACTTTATTGACTTTTATCAGGCTAGCTATTACAACTATTTTTATAGAGATAAGAGTACAGCTAGTCATATATGCAACTTTTGGTTGCCTATTTAAGTAGTCCACCCTAAGGTTTTACACTAGATGCCATACTTATAACCTACTAGGAGATTATTCATTTAAACCTTCTGATCATCCACTTTGTCATATTGGAATCCCCAAACTAACCCCTCATATATACCTACCTAGTATACCATCTGAGCAGTATAGTACCTATCCTTTTTGTACTGGTTCCTAGGCTGTTACACATTTCAGAATACGTCACCTGCC